CTTTTAGACACGATACCAGTCATATTTGGAGCTGGTACTCACTGATCTCTATTCACTGGATTGCTGATCGGTTGGTAGCACAGGGTGGAGTGAAGCCGCTTGCCGCCATATTGGTACTGGTAAACAATATGTGCGCTACAGCATCGGACAACATTGATTTTCTAATTTTCAGAGGAGTTTAAGACTTAAAATGCAGAGGAATTTATCACCTTGACACACACTTACTGTTTCATAGCATAGGCACGTCACATTACATTCAGTATGAAGTCCATGAAGTCTATTAATCATTTGTAATATGAAATATTATTCAAATCCATCACAACAAAATGAGTGTGTTAGTGGAGTGTAATAATAATTTAGTCAGATATTAAGAATATTACACACACACACACACACTAATGATAAAAAGTAAAAAGTACTAAATTTATGATTTATATGTAGTATACCGGTACATGTATTGTTTACTTTGTTATGGTAATTACATATTAAATTACAGGTATTTTCATGGTGTGACTCCATGAAAGTGGGGATCTCCAATCCAGTGAATAAATAGAGATCAGTGGCTGTAGTTTAGTAGTACGATGGAGTATTAGGGCCAGGCTAGAGGCTGTTTTATTTATTTTTTTTTTTTTTACAATAAAGTCGTAACATTACGAGAATGAAGTCATCATACAACAACCCGTGTTAAAAAGAAAGCTTTGAGCTCCGACCAGCAAATGACAGCGGACCATCAATCAGCAATCTGAGTCCACTTTGACATCCTACCCAATTTGATTCTGGTGCAAAAAGATTTTCTTATTTGTCAAACCAGAGCCAAAGTATAACTTCACATAATGTGCTCTCTTCATCCTCTGGCATGGGAGCTGCCTTGGAGCTTGTCTGCCTGGCTGTGTGTTTCCTGGATCAGGCCGCCTTTTACAGCTGCTTTTTGTGTCTCTGCTTCTGTCTCCTTGAACCCCAGTCGGCCTCAGCAGATGGCCGCTCACACTGAGCCTGGTTCTTCTGGTGTCTTCTCTCTTTTAAAAGGGAGTTTTTCCTCTCCACTGTCGCTACAAGCATGCTTAGTGTGAGGGATTG